TTGCTGGAAAAACTCAGCAGGTCTGTGGTGAGAAAGTAGAGTTATTGCTGTTAAAGAGGGGTCACTGGAGCCAGAAACATTAACTTTCTCTCCACTGGTGCTACCAAACCTGCTGAGTTTTTCCAGCAGTATCTGTCTTAGGCAGTGGTTAGAATCTATGATTAAAGAGGTTCCAGCAGGATACTTAGGAAAACGATGTGATAAGCAGACAATGGTTTTGTGAAGGAGAAATGATGTTTAACTAACTTACAGGAAGTATCAAGCAAGTTGGATAAAAGGGGAACCTGCAGATGCAGTGTACTTGGATTGCCAAAAGATACTGATAAAAGGTGCCAAATTAAAGGTTTCAACAAAGTAAAAGCTGCTGGTGGAAAGAACAAAAATTTGGTGGTTGAAGTATAATGTCAAAAAATGTAACCTTGTGCACTGTGGCTGGGAGGAAAGCAGTATACAATTTAAATTGAAAGAGATTGCAGAACTCGGTGATACAGAGGTACCCAGATGTCCTGTGAGCACAATAGTCTGCAGGTATAGCAAGTAGACTAATTGAATCTTCTTGTTAATATTCTATCATTCCTGCAATAAAAAAAAGGAATTTTTACTGTGGCTGTACAGGGCCTCGGTGAGACCAAATCTGGCATACTGTACACAATTTTGGCTTCTTTATTTGACAAAGGCCTTAAGATATTGGTGCAGAAATGGGCCGCTCAGTCCATGAAGTCTGCTCCACCATTCAAGAAATCACAGCTGAACAAATAATCTTCAACGCCACTTTGTGTTGTCTTGTCACTATATCACTTGATTGCCTCACACATTAAAAACGTGTTTATCTCAGCCTTAAATATTCTTAACGATGCAACCTGGACAGTCCTTTACTTGAAAATAGTATATTCACTTGCTCCATCAAAGTTAGGTAAACAGCTGCCCCAGCACCGATCCCTGGGTATTCTACTAGCTATAGTTTAGCATCCTGAAAATGTCTCTTTACCTCAAACCTCTGTTCTGTTAGTTAGTGAATTCTCTATGCATGCTAAATTATGACCCCCATAATGAGAGTTCTTATCTTATTAAGTAGGGTTATGCCTGGTAACTTATGAACACTTCTGGAAAACCAATTAGATTACAGCTATTAATTCCCCTTTATCTAGCCCGTTTGTTACCTCCTCAAAGGATTCTACTGCATTTTTCAGGTGTAATTTCCCCTTCATGAAGCCATGCTGGCCCAGCTTTATGAAATTATGCATTTTTAAATTCTTCACTATTACATCTTTTATAATAGGCTCTAACATGCTCTAATTCACAGATTTAACCAGCTTACAGTTTTGTATCTTTCCTTTTTGGAGGAGGGTACTGGGTTGGCAGTTTTCCAATTGTTTGTCTCTTTTCCAGAATCTAAGGATTCTTGGAAGATTCCTGCCATTGCATCCACAATCTCTGTTGATACTTCCTTTAATATCCCAGGATGCATCCGAAGATGTCCAGAGGATGTCTAGGGCTTCAACCCCATTACTTCATCTTTTCTCTATTGATAGACATAATAAGTATTTCCTGCCCACTTTTTGCCCCTTGGTTTCACTACTGGAAAGTATTTATTCAACTCCTCTACCATTTCCCTGCTCCCCACGATTATTTGCCTAGCTGAATTTTTCATGGTACCGGTCATCAGTTTGGTCTTTCTCTTCCTTTTTATATATTTAAAGCAGCTCTTGTTGCCTATTTTTACATTACATGCTAGTTTACCCTAAAAACTTACCTTTTCCCTCTTTAGTTTTTATTGGTCCTTTTTTGGCTTTTAAAAACTTTCCCAATCCTCTGGTTTGCCACTAATTGTGCCACTTTGTACATCTTTTTCTTTCAATGTGATACTACCCTCATCTTTCTTGCTTAACCGTGGTCATTTTATTCCTTTTCTGAAGTCCTTCTTCTACAGATTTACTGTAGATTTAGATGCAGTAGTAGCAGTTCAAAGAAGGCTCATTCAACTGAACTCAATTCATTCCTGATATGAAAGGCTACACTGAAGACCAGTTATTGAGGAAATTGCTGGAGTGTAGGATAAGCTGGCTAAGGATTCTAAAGGTGGTTGATGGTGGGCAGGTAATGGCAGACATTTAAAGAATGCATGGATGAACTTCAACAATTGAGCATCCCTGTCTGGTGTAAGAGTGAACAGGGAAGGTGACTCAACTATGGCTAACAACAGAAATCAGGCTAGTGTTAAAGCCAAACAGGAAGCATATGATTGGCCACAAAAAGCAGCAAACCTGAGGACTGGGAGAAATTTAAAATTCAGCACAGAATGACAAAGGGTCTAATTTGGAAGATGAAAATAGAATATGAAAGTAAGCTTGCAGAAAAACAGATTGCAAAAGCTTCTATAGATATGTGTTTCGAAAAAGACTGGTGAAGACAAATGTAGATCCCTTACAGTTAGAAAGGGATAAATTCAAAATGGACAAAGAGATGTTCACGAAGGAAAACACAACTAACCTTCTGAAAATGTTACGAGACAGAGGGTCAAGCATGAAGGAGGAACAGAAAGAAATCTTTATCAGTCTGGTACCGGAGAAATTGATGGGATTAAAACCCACTAAGTTCCCGGAGTACTTAAGGAAGTGGCCCTAAAAATAATGGACTCAGTATTTTATGGACTCTGGGAGAGTTCCAATGGGACTGGAGGGTAGCTAATGTAACCCCAGTCTTTTTAAAAAGGAGGGAGAGAAAAACGAGGAATTATAGGCTGGTTAGCCTGACATTGGTGGTGGGAAAAGCCTGACAGAATTGGTCCAAGTCAGCATGGATTCACTAAAGAGAACTCATGTACGACAAATCTTCTTGAATTTTTTTTTGAGGATGTGCCCAGCAGAGTGCTTAAGGGCAAATCGATAGATGTTGTCTACTGGACTTTCAAAAGGCTTTTGACAAGGTTCCACACGAGATTCATAAGCAAAATTAAAGCTCATGGTATCAGAGGTAATGTATTAACATGTATAAAGAACTGGTTGACAGACAGGAAGCAGAGAGTTGGAATAGACAGGTCCTTTTCAGAATGGCAGGCAGTGATGAGTGGGGTGCCGCAGGATTCAGTGCTGGGGCCCCAGCTGTTTACAATACGTTATCGATTTGGACAAAGGAATTGAATGCAATATCTCCAAACCTGCGGATGATACTACGCTGGGTAGCAGTGTGTGCTGTGAGGACAAATATTTTGCAATGCAATACAACGTGGATAAATGCAAGCTCATCCACTTTGGTGGCAAGAACGGGAAGGAGACTGTTATCTGAATGGTGGCAGTTTAGGGGAAGGTGAGGTGCAACGAGGCCTGGGTGTCATGGTGGAACAGTCACCGAAGGTTGGCATGCAGTAGGGGAAGCCACTGGCTTGGTTGGTTGGTCGGTCAGTCGAGTGCGTGAGAGAGTGAGAGAGTGAGAGAGTGAGAGAGTGAGAGAGTGAGAG